AACTATTTTCATATCTTTTCAGTGAATGTGTACCTTTTATTCTGATTCTGCTATATCCATTGATAAGCAAATTTCTATAGAATGTCAAAAAGTGAGAGATTTTTATTTAAATTAATAGGACAATTTAACAGCTTTTACATATCAAGCATTTTCATTCTCTTATAACAAACCAGTCACACTTTTCAATGACATTTAAATACATTCATATTTGAACAGTAGTTAACCATGTTAAAAAGTTCAACAGACTGACATTATATTAAACTTCATCTACTATTAAATTCGACAAATGTTTACCATGTTTCTACAGTGTGTAGGATACTGTTAAGATTTTGAGAATAAATGTTATACATAATCCCTTAAGGAAGTGAATATTAAGAAACAGGCCAGGGATGTGGTAGGGTGCTAGTCTAGAATGCTTGAATGCTAGAATGCTTCAATTGCCAGAACTTCAGGGAAAAATAAGTGTAGATAGAAAAACTAAAATAGTGAAGCAGACAATGGTATAAGCCTCAGACAAGATATAAGATGCTACAAAGATATCTAATGAAAAAAGATGTTTCATCCTTTGGAAAACTCATTAGAACATTTATTTTTCATTTCTTATATCAATTTTGCTAGTATACTGATAAAAGATGCATTACTTGGCCAAACTTTAGTCAGGTTTCTGAAACTTCTGCTAGACTCATCTGCACATTTCCTTATAAAATCCTATTTCAGCAAAAAAGTATTGCTGAATCAGTGTAGCAAAAACTCCCTCATCCTTTACCATCACCCAGATATGTATCATCCTGGCCTATCTTCTGCAATTCTGTTAATTCTGTTGTCAGTTTAGTCAGAATCTTCCTTACACCTTATGTTTCCTTTTAGCAATTTTCCATCCATTGATCCCTGCTCTGCTCCATGGCTAAAAATTGTCAATTCCCATGCTGTATTCAGAGTTGCTCCCAATCTCTCTCCCACACTGCAAGACACTGTTACAGTGGTCCCTATAACTATTGTGAAGGCTCTGAATTAAGTGTTCCTTAATCTTGCTTAAACTTATCTTTGAATAATTTTCAGCACATTAACTATTTTACAATTTACAACAATTTTATTGTTGTAGGGACAGTATCTTTAGAAAAGTATGTGAAAAAAGGTTTAAAAATATAATGAAAATTAAAGTGGTGAAAATTTAAAATAAATGTACACAAAATTTAACATTATAATTTTATCATACATTTAAAAAAAAATCACCTAAATCTCATGTCACAGCGTAGTAAACTGATGGTCAACTTGGAATGTCCAGCTGAACTGAGTCCACATGGTTCTGGGTGTGGAAGACCCACTTGAGAATTGTTTCCAATAGCATAAAAGGAAAATGGAGGGGAAGATCGTATGTAGCTGATTTTCCTGGAGAAGCTTGCTGCGGTTGCTTTTCAGAATATGAACTTGGCTGTTCTCATCATCAGAAGAGCTCAGGTCCTTGCTTTCACTGAAGGTGGCTGTTGTTGCCAGGGGAGCTCCAATTTTCGCCTTGAGCATTGCTTCCTGGGTCCAGTGCAGATCCCTCAGCCTGGTGGCACAGTTTCTTCACCCCTTTGATGCAAACTTTCCAGCTTCCACCACTGACCTCTACAGTGGGCCTTCCCACTGTAGATCCTTGATACAGACTTGCATGAGATATTGCTGTGGGCTCTAGGCCTTTGGCTGGACTCGTGGAGGATATTGCTGTGGGATTCTGGCCCTCAGTTGGATCCTTCAGATTTCTAGTGCATGGACAGATCTCTTACACTTCTCTGCATATGACATTTTTGTGTAAATATTATAAAATAATCCTATAACTGTCCTGTATTAAACCTATTCTCTTGCAAACCCTGACAACACAATTGTTTTTGGTTTTTTTTCTTTTACTTCTCCTATATCTGAGATTGTTCGCTATTTGTACATGTCAAAGGTATGCAGTTCTGTGAATAGCTGCTTTTCTGTGTGACAAGCAGAATAGCTTTTTGTAGTATGGATTTTGGCGTTGGCAAAATTTCTTACTCTTGTCTATGAGCTAAAAATATACTTCCTACTTAACTTATATAAGATGAGTTTCTTAGAATGGAAAATTAGAGATACAGAAGACAACATCAACATGTATTTCATAGGATGGGCAAGAGGATTAAATGAAAAAAATCTATGGAACGTATTTAACCAAGCTACTGTGCTAGGTAGGGGCTCAGAAAGTCATTATCTTATTTATAGTAGCTTATCTCACTTTTTTCTCCTATCATGAACATACTTTAGATTTTATGATATGGGTCTTAAACACCAGGAAACAAACCTCAAAGAAAGGAGTACAGGCAAATTACATGGAATTTTCCAGAAGTTTCCAGAACACAAATATAATAAGCTTTCTGATATCTATCCCTGTCCTGGTTCTGCCGCTTTGAGAATCATTAGACATATGCCATTTCAAAATTTTTGTATCATTTTTTGAAAATTTAGACTTCCATCCAGTATTATTCTCCTTTAGCTTTTCATCAGTGATCATAGTTATGATAGCTGTTTGCTTTGATAAATTTAATAGCCAGGTCACCTTGGAATAGGTTTGTTTTCCTTTGAAACAGAATTATATCATTCTGCTTTATTGTTTGTATAACTGTGAATTGTATCCCAAATGTTGTCATTGTGTGGTGGAGAATCTGGATTTTGGTATATTCCAGTACAGTGTTGATATTCTTATCTCAGAAGGCAAGTAATTTGGTTAGATTCAAACTTCAAACTATCTTGACTGGTAGTTAAAATGGTGATTCTGTTGATTTCAGCTGCTCTGTTTAGCTTGTTTCATGTATGCTGGTTGAGGAGTCAGTCACTGATACAGGCAGAATTATAGACAATGGGGTTCTCCATTTCTGAATATCTTCTTTTTTAAAGATTTCTCAGTAGCTGGACTTTCCAAAACTGCTGGGCTTTAGGACCAGAAAGATTTTGGGATTTATTGCAGCTTTGGTCAGTGTAATTTTGTTCTATTTTCAGGATGAAAGCCATAGAAACAAGGCAGCATCTCCAGTGGTTTCGAACTTTTAAGAATCTACCTGCTATAGTTCACAGTTTAGTATTATTTTTTATTTAATCCAGAAATTAAAGTTATGTGTGAGAGGGTTGGATTCAGTTAGCTGAAATGACAACACAACAGTTGCAAAATCTCCTTTGAAATGTTGCTAAAACTCAAGTTTAGAAGAATGCTACCCTTTAAATATTCAACTGTTCTAAATAAGCATTTAGAACAATAGTGTTTTATGTGTCTTTCTGATTTTTTGGTGTTTAAAAATTTTCATATAAATCCTGTATATTTTTATCAGGTAAGGATGCAAATTTATCATTTAAAATCTATCATGTTTCAGTTTATATTTCCTTGTACTTAAGTTGCGCATTTTTGGAGATCAGACTTCTGAAAGTCTTTTTTGTACTAGGCTCTCTCTTTGTTGCATGATTTTTTTTTTTTTTTTTTTGCAGTTTACTTTTTTTTGTAGCTGGATCGAACTCGGGTCCTTGTGCTTGCGAGACAGCCTCCAGAACCACTGAGCTAAATCCCCGACCCTGCAGTTTCCTTCTTAATGAACAATCTGTGTACTTCACATCAGGTCACCTAAAATTGTCAGCTGTCCAGTTCAGTGCCTGGTCTGTCTAGTAGACATGATACCCTATTTAGTTTTTTGGATAAAGATCATTGATCTTAGGGTTGGTTCTAATTTTATATTCTCAGTGAAGACTTAAAACACATATAACACTAAGAAATGCTCTTCTTGCTGATAATTTCATATATTAACTTCTATAACTTTGCATGGATAATTTAGTGGGAGAATAGGACAGACATGAAGTAGTCTTTCCTGCCACCTTTGGCAAAATATATTGAACTAAATCTGAAAAGAATTCCCCACAAACATGCAAAAATACTTTGACAATGATGCTTTTATTTTATTTTGGAAATAATCATATTTACCTAGAATACACTTAGAAAGAAAATAGGAAGTGTAAAAGTGAAAAAATATATGCTTGTGTGTGTGTGTGAGAGAGAGAGAGAGAGAGAGAGAGAGAGAGAGAGAGAGAAAGACAGAGAGATTTCCATCACTGTGACAAAATACCTGAGAAAATAAACTTTAAAGGAGAAAAGGTTTATTTTGGCTCATAGTTTTGGAACATGGTCAGGTGGCACCACTGTTTTTGGGCCCATGATAAGGCAGAATATTGTGGTGGGTGTATAAGGTGAGGCAAAATTGATTATTTCATGGTAGCCAGGAAACAGAAAGAAACAATCTGGGTCCTGATATCCTCTGCAAGGACATACCTGTAACTCCATAACTTCCTCCTATAGGCCCTAACCCCAACTAAATCAGCCAGCACTAACTCTAGAACACATGGTTCACTCAGCAACATTTCAGGTAAAATCTATAGCAATACATTAAGATTTTGAAACTGACTTATTTGTTAAAGTAATAAATGTTGAAATCAAGATTAAAAAATATAAATTAACTTCTTTTCAAAAAACATGGATGCAACCTCTTCATAAATATTACTTTTATAATTTGAATCTCAATAACATTCCACTAAAACACACCTGAAATTATGCAAGGGTTTGTTATATTCCTTGCACCTAATAGGAATTTAGCATTTGTTAAATAGAATAAAATATTTTTTCATAAGGTATATTTTTATATCTTTTTTATTTAAGTTGTAAAAACACTTTTAACATATTATAAATAGTGGTAGTACCTGAACAAATTATTTGTTATACATTTCTTATTTTATCATGATGCCAGTTCTTTCCTAAAACAAGTTTCTTCAAAGAAGTTACAAGAGATCAAGAGCATATTAAGAATACTTTATTATAATTAATACATGCATGAAATATACATTATAAATGGAATATGATATACATCTGATGAAGAGTATATTCATTAAGGTAAAAGGAAAAAATCATCAGCCATAGAATGGAACTATCACACACCTAAAAAATAAAGTTCTCAAATCCTGCAGTAATTTAATTTATATGTGCTATAGATATTCTACAACTTTACTATTTTACAAAGGGGAGAGATAACAGTTTGAAAAGATTAAATGCCAGATATTCTATAGAAAGAAAAAGTACTAGCACCCTGGTATAATTTTTATCCCTGGCCCATTTTCTGCCCACTGGAAAAAATTGCACTGTTTTTCCTTCTCAAAAGAACACACAAAAAAATTCTTTCCATTATTAGGTCCAATCTTCAATACTGTTCTCATGATAGAGCGCTTGCCGTGGTTGCAGAAAGGGAAGGACAAATCGGCCCACTAGGAGAAAAGAAAAGATTGAACTGTAAAGCTTATATGGAAGTTACAGTGATGTGCAGACTAAACCTAGGCTGGTTTGGTTGGTGTCATATTGTCTTCACTGCTGCTGTTATTAATTTGACATTGTAAAATAGACATGAGCCATTGCTGCCCATTAAAAAAAGCTTATCTCTTAAAAGAAGCATCCTTTACAAATTTGAGTTCCACAAGGAATTGTCATAATTCTGAATCTTCCTTTACCTAAAGGATTATTTATAAAAGTTCCCTTTCTTAAGAATAATTTAAAACTACCAGAACCTTACTATAAAGTAATCAGTGTCTCTGCTATAGTTTGTTTTAGTTAAAATGGTAAGATCAAAAAATTTATTATGACTTTTAATATTAAGCTTCCTTAGTCTCTTAGACAAAGAATCCAATAGGGACTTACCTAATCAGGGTAAGTCAGGCAAATTCTACTCTATTATTCTTATTCCTATTAATTTTAGCCTCAAGACAGGTATGAAAGAAGCCATTATATTATTAGCAACATATACTATTTCTATCTATAAAGACTTTATGAATTCAGTAGCACAGTCATATCTTGTTTAAGATACAGATCTAAAATCACTATTAAGTCTTCCCTGGGAAATTCCTTAAAAAAGATATCATGACAAAAAGAGATATTTCAGCTCTCAGCCCAATCTGAAAGTTTTTGCTCCAGCACTAAAATGGGTCAGTAACTCTTTTTGGTGTTTAAATATCACATGAATTGAACTTGGAAAAATGTATATTTTAAGCATTAGACTCACACTAAGTATGTTAACATGTTTATACTCTTAAGAAATGAAGAAGATGAGATTTACTAAAGGAACCCAGATTCTTATCTCTTATATCAGATTTGTATTTAGTGACACACCCATAGATTGGAAGGTAAAAGGAATCTCCCATAGCTAAATTTGGCCAAGCTTGTGTAGCAGGATTCGCTAAGGTTATTATAAACCCAAGGCAAACATTTTTCTCTCATGTACCTCTATCCAATGTATAAACCAAACTTTTGATGTGCACTGAATTGAGAAAAACAAATTCTTATTTTAGATTATTAACAGCAGGAGTACTACTAGTGTGTTAGCCACTCAATACCTTTCTATCTTTATGACTTATAAGGAACATTTATAGAATGTTAATCTGTGATTACAAATATGGTATACTCTAATAACCTAATGGATACTATTTTATCATAATTATTATTTTGCTGAAGGTCTGAATTTTAAGTTATTCACCCTTCAAAATTCTGACAATATTATGGCTAACACGTAAAGGTAAAACTGAAAGAGCATTGCTATTTCTTACATTTTAATAATCAAAATTCAATTACCCCAAAGTAAATTCGATAAATTTTATACATACCTCAAAAAATCCACATTGTGCTTCCCTAGGTAGTGGACAAGCATAAAAATGCCTTCCTTTGTTTTCACCATCCTTCCTTACAACCCGGAGAACACAGAGGCGGTTGTGTTTACTGCATCGAGGTCTGCCAACATTTAAGGCACAAGGACCACCTGCAACACTCACTTGAGGTTCACTGGAATGAAAGGTTATAAAATAACTAATGTTAAAGAGTCGTTTATACCACTTCACCTTGGCACACATGAATTTTGCTCATAGGAAGAAATTATATCAAGAAGTTGGCCATGGTCAACTTTAGTAACTACACAAACTATTGTCAATTTAGTTCTTTCTTTTAATTCAAAGCTACCTATAAACTTAAAGCACATAACTTACATTTCTAAAGAATGGAAACAGCTGAAATGGGCATCCAGTACATCAAAATTTCAGTTTTAATTTCTTATACTGAGTTCTTCTTTTACCTAATGTTACAATGTAGTCATTTCTATTTTGTCTAAAATATTTTCAAGTCTAGCTGTCCCCTGCTCCATAAAGCAACTAGAATCACAATATTCTCTAATTATTTTCTTATGGATAGAAACTCTCACAAATGGATCTGACAAGGCCGTGGTGATCACTCTCTCTACCGTCCACTTAAAAGACAATTTTCTATGCTTTTCTTTGATCAAGGCTACTAAAACAGTCTTCAGCAAGAAACATCCTGCCTGGAAGAGCAGAAATGTGTATTTTGGAAACCTAGAAGAATAGCTTTATCTTCTACACAATTAGAATCAAGAGCATTTGGAGATCATCCTGCAGAGAGTGAACAAAGCACAGATGATCTTGCATTCTAGTTGTATATAGAGAATTTTCTCTTTGAAAAGAAGCTTCATTATTATCTTTATGTATTTCACATAATTTCAACAATGCTTTTATAAGACTTTTAATAACCTAGTTGGAAGAGTCACATTAATTAAAACTGGGGACTGGTAGAGTAGCTCAGTGGTAGAGTCCATGGCCCATACTTAGCGCGCTCAAGGCTCTGTGTTGGATCCTCATCACCCAAACTGAAAAGAAGTGAAAAAAAAACAAATAAAAAAATAAAAAAAACAAAAAACAAAAAACCCCCCATAAACCAACCCAGAGGTCCCTCTCCCTAATATTCCTATTTTAAAACTTTTTAATGATAAAATAGTTCATCCTTTCTCACATTTGAGGAAATTTCTAAAGAACAAAATAACACTCATAAAATTTTTAAATGATTAAAAATCAAGCATATTTTTCCTTGCTTCCTGAACTACATTTTGAATACTTTTTTCCCATAATTATGCCTCGGGGTATCAGATGTAATTGGAATCTCCAGAGAATGTGATCTTTTGTGGTGAAATTGGTTTAAGATTATTTATATAAAACAGATGATTAAACATACTGCTTTAAAATTTTTGGCTGGGATGGACTTAAACATTTTTAGGGCTGTTCCTGAGGTTATTGATAGCAGTCATTTACAAAATAAAAGCAGCTCTAGGCACTGCTAATGAGATCATTATAAATTAAACATTTCACCAGCAACTATTTTGTTGGTAGCTCTTTCAGATGAAAGGTGGCAGCTTATATTTTAGAGTCATGGATAACACTAAATTCAAAATATGAAAGCTGAGAAGCAATGAGATTTTCTTTTCCACAACCCTCCTTTTCACTAGCTGCCTCTGAGATGTGATATTAAAACCTCAACTTCAAGCGAAGTTAAATATCTGGGTGGCTGTAGAGAAGTAAAGAGATTTCAAAACTGAAGTGGTTTCATATACAGTGTTCAAAGACAACTTAAAGGAGAAAGTGGTTAAGAATATTGGTAGAAGTGAATCAAACAATGCTAATTAAAAATATACATATATAAAATTGTTTTCTATATTATTTTAAAGGTGTATGTATAAGGCAACAGTTAGTTCAACATGTTCTAACCCATCTGCCTCAACCTGGAGATCTTCAGGTTTTCACACATCCAGATTCTTTATTACTAAAGCTTTTCTGAGAGGGGCAAAGGTGGAAATTAGGATTAAGACAAAAGGAAAGGCTCCAGTTGTCTTCCCTCTGGTTTATTTCTGTCTTCCATTCTGTTTCTATCTCAGTGTAAAGCTAACCAAAAAGCTTGTCCTGTGCTCTTTGATCCTTGGTATCAGAGTGTGATCCACTGAGCAAAAATATTATGGTCACCCCAAAGCTACTCACAAATACAAGTTTGTCCCTTTTCCAGATCCCTATGAACAAAAGTCTCCACGTTAACAAGATTTCCAGGTGATTCACATGCACATTAAGTTGTGAAGCAACTAAGTTAATGCAAACAGGATACTTAATGCCACCTGTGATCACATCCACTCTAAATATGCTCAACTAATCTTAATTTTATGATAGAAAACATTATACAGGATAATTAAATGTTCTTAATTGAGGACATTTTGGCTCCTCTTTGTTTCAGTCATTATTTGAAAATTTTGTAAATGTAGCAGAACGTTTTCTTAAGTAAATCCTGCATAGAGAATAAACTAGTTTGTTGATTAGTATCATTCGGAATATTGACTTATAGGTGGCATAGGGAAATAATAGATCAAGAGTTAGCAAATATTTTCAGGTAATACACATTTTAGGTTTGTGGGTCTCATGGTCTCTGTGGGAACTATTCAATTCTGTTGCTGGCAATACAAAAAAAAAAAGCCATAAAAATAATCAAACAAATGGAAATAAAACTACACAAATAGATGTTAATCTTGATTTGGCCCTTTTGGCCTAAGTTTGCCAGAAGTGTTCATTAGAATCAAGAAAAATGCTTGAGGCATAATAGGTTCTCAATAACTGCTTATAATAAAGAAAATTAAACATCAGATAAAAACTATCATCAAAAAGACAGTATCAAGTACAGATTTATATTTTCAAAGTGAACCTTAACATTTTTAAATGATTAGCTTATCACAGTTTAACTATTTTGCAATTAGGATGATTCATTATAATAAAAATACTATCTGGAATTTCTTTAAATTAATCAATGCAATGGAATGTAGCTTTTTATCATCTAAGATAATTTCCAGCATTAAACAAACAAAAAGTGAAATGATTCATCCTAGATGTCTCATGTGGTCCTGAAGTTCTGAGAGAGCAGATAAGAACTCCAAAAGGGTGACTCCAAAACAAGTCTAAGGTGTCACTGTTGGGACTAGTGATTACAGGTACACCTTCTATACTTCTAATGGCAGTGGATATAAGAAAATGCTAATGATTTTCATAGCATCCTTTCCCTCTTCTATAAGAGCTTTTCTAATCACGTAGGAAAGGGGCCAGGGATTTAACCTCAGTGGTTCTGCTGCCTGCCTCCTAAGCACAAGGACCTGAGTTCCATCCCCGGTACTCCCCGCCAAAAAAGAAAAAAATCTATCCATTTAGGAAAAAAATTCAACCTAGAACATATCTTTGAAAATATATCACTGTTCTGTGCTTATCATAATTGGACCAAAGATTTAAAACTGTTTTTAGTGGTTATTCTTAAGAGCTTAAAATTGCTTCATTTATCTAATTTATAATCCAGTAGCTGGATAACATTCAAGTGCATCTAAAGACCAATCCAAAAATATCCCTCATCAACATAGCATGTATGGTGTGATGATGAGATCAGTAATTAAGACAACAAAAGTCAAACTAATTACCCTATAATTATTAAAGAAAAAAAAATAAAGTGGCTATCAATTCTGAGTGAACCACCTGCTTTAATAGTATTATGCTGTGAGCTTCTTCTAGGCGGCTTGTCCACAAGATGAACACTGTAGCTGCCAGACAAGGAGAAAAATGAAATAAATGACAGTAATTTGCAATTTATTCCTTGTAAAGTAGCTGGGTGCAGAAGGGCTTCTGGGTGAATTTATTTCATCACTTGACTTTTATTCTGCTAGTTGATCTTGATTGATTGTGGAGTCTCAGTCCTGGTGTTCTCATATGCAGTACATACACATGGCTGCAGCATTTCTGAGTAACAGTGTGCACTGTGATTAATCATATGGTTCTATCACTAATGGCTTATGAAGAAATCATTTAAATTTAAGGTTACATTAATGCTTTTTTAAATCCCTAATTCATTAGTTAAATTGTCAGAGATTTTTTTTAAAGCACTAAGGAAATAAAAATATGCCAAGTTATTTCATCTGGGTGCAACAAATGGCACAATATTTTAAATTGATCACTTCCACTTCTTTCCACTTAAGTCACAGAACAGAAAAGCTGTTCAAAAGTGATTTTCTCCTACAGGATAGCATCCTAACTCAGACTTTCTTCACTGGCTCCTTTATGATTTCCACCATGAGACACGAATTAGGTTTAAAGTGAATTTATCCAGTCAGTTTAAAAGTTTGGTCCCCAGAGCTTAATCCAGATGAGACTGGGTGTGTTCAGGATGGTGGCTGTAGACCCCAGAGCTTAATCCAAATGGGAGTATCACAGACAGAAGTTAAATCATTTATCATAATTACAAGCAAAATATTTGGAAAAGTCAGTCAAGGATATGTCATCAGAATTAATTGATAGTAAATTAAGAGTTGGGACAGGAAATTGGAGAGAAATCCATATATTAAAGAAAAACCGTCTGAGAATTGCTATCACATAAGTCTTAGGGATTCAGTTTTGTCTAGGAGTGTATAGCAGGTGGTCCCTTATTCCACTGCCCAGTGGAGGACTCTTCCCATCAGCAAAGAACAGCTCATCAGAGCAAAATCTACTCATTAGAATTCTACCTGAGATTCCTTTAGATTCTACTCAAAGTAACTGCCTATCATTGATTGGCAAGAAAAGACATGCATGCAAATAAGACCCTTCATCCACATGTCATACACTTTTCATCTAAAGATGCTGGATTGATGGCACCTGCTTTTTTAACCAAAAGAAAAGCAGCTTCAGAAACAAAATACTAGGAAAATGTCTTTTTCTGATGCAAGAGAACATCAGTTATGACCATAGGAAGCCCAGATAAATGAATGAAAGGAGTGGTGGAGGAGCATCAACAGATTGTTTCAGAAGCTCCCAACACTTGTTAATGAAAGGATGACACCGGTCTTTACAATTTCTGCATCTTAATTAACAGTAATTTGGGACTTTGTGGATATGTAACTGGTAATCTTGTGAGCCATATAAGGCCTGGTAGTGTTTATTAAATGGAATTATAAGTTTTTCATTTCAGATACAAAAATAGGATGTTTACTTTTTAGGACTTTTTGGTTTAAATAAGAACAACATCCCACATGGCTGTCTGAGATGCAGTCATATTTGTTCATAGAAATATCACTAAAGGCATTTCAGATTTTTTGAAAAATAGAGGACATTTATTAAACTTTTAAAAATGATAGTTTTTCTTTCAGAAGAATGCCATCTACAAATGGTCTTTGACTTACAATGGTTCTATTTGGACTTTCTTAACTTTATCATGATTGTGAAAGCAATAAGGTAGTCAGTAGAAACTGTACTTCAAGTTTTTGAATTTTTGATGTTTTCCTGGGCTGGTGATAAGCAGCATAATAATGTCTTTTGAAACTAAGTATTGGCAGTGAATCGCAGCTACCTGATCAATGGGGAAAACATTCAATACTCCATGGTATGCTATGATGCTAACTTATGATGTTCAGTAGGCTAGAAGTATTAAATGCATTTTTCAACTTATGACACTTTCAACTTACGATAGGTTTACTGGTAACAGGTATGATTACAGGTGATTTAAAATTTCTTTATACTTGCCAGTATTTTCCAAATATTATGTATTGAACATGTATATATTTAATGTCACAAAAAAATAACCTTTTATAGATGCAGGGAAATTTTCTTCCCTAGTCTCTAATATAATAAGATGAAGAGAAAGGAAAATTACTGTAACAGTTTTCAGGGTTTGATTTATATTACCAAATCGATTCAATTTCTTTTTCAATGGATGTTTCTTCCTTCTTAAAATTTATGCAATACAAATATCTTAAAAATATCTTGAAACAAGCTTAGTGCAAATACCTTAAAGACCATGGTTAGAAGCATCATACCTGTTAGAAAATCCAGTGTTGCAACTTTTGAGGTCTGGTGTTGAGTAGAGGGATGTTTTCAATTTTTTATGCACTGAACTAAATAATTCAGACTGAGAGCAGACTGTACGAGATATGTTTACTTTGTTAGATACTTGAGTTATACAGTTTGTTCTCTCCTTGGAGGGGTGCCGTGTATCACTAAAACAAACGTTTGTAGGAAGAGAGTTTTGAAATTCCCCATCTGGTGTCTGGATTTGGCTTTCTTTTCTCTTCAAAGTATTGGATTTATTGCTAAAATCAGTCAAGACAAGAGTTGTAGTTCCAAATACAGTTTTCCTGTTGATTTTAACTTCTGTATGTGCTTTCCCAAAGCTATTACAAGGGTACTTCACTAAGTTGTGAAAGACAATAGAATTTTCTTCAGTCTCAAGCATTGAATCTGAAAAGAGAGAAAAGTTATTCTGCAATATTACTAAAAATATATTAACTACTCAAAACATTTTTATTCTATGTATCTACCTATCTATCTCTGTATCTACTAATGTAGGGTTAGCTTGGACAAATTATAATGAATCATCTTCTAGTTAGGAAGCAAAGTATTTAAAATGCAAAATGTTGACGATTAATATATATATCCAGAAATGAGGTTAACAGAGACTTACATTTGCTTTCGATTATGTTTATGCATGTAAAAGTTAATCAGCTATCAGTTTTGTTAATATTAGGCAAAGTATTAAAGTGATGCTAATTAAGAGATGATATCTCATAAAGCAGTTAGACATCCTTGTATGAACTATCAAAAATGTTTTTATGAATGATAAGACAAAGTGAAGGAATGATTTAAGAGAAGCAAAGATGAATTACAAGGAGTTAGTATTTATTAAGTATAATGCTTTGACAAAATATCCTAGAATTCCAGAATCTGTACTATAGTTTAAACCCCAGTGAAGATGTGTGTCTCTCATACTCAAAGTAACTAAAAAACAGTTCATGAGATATGTAAAGGCATTTCGGAATGTTGAAATAAATGTGGAAACTGAAGACTGTGGTTTTCTGAGGGCTCTTTCTGTTGAACGATCATACAGAAGAAAATGAAATAGGAGGTGCTCCAGTTCCTTTGGCTACTAGAAAAGCTAAGCAAGGGAGGACGTCTGCCATGAAGGCCCAGGGAACAAAACACAGTGTGACTGTGAACAAAATGTAGGGGCCCATAAGTCAAGTATGAACTTTCTCATCTCTAATTGAAGAAAGAAATAACACTTTGAGAGCACAATAGAAGCTGCATCAATGAGCTGGTTTCTTAATCACAGGTTTCCTCTGAGGTTTTGCATTCTCTGAACGCATGAAATTGTGAGCTATAAAGAGTTATTTTGAAGTATTTCAATGAAATCAGTACAATTGTCTGGGTAAAGATTTTAATAACAAGGGGTAGGAAGGATAAAGAAGAGGAAAAAATTCAGCATTTTTCAATTCCACCTGCAAAGATATTCTTACAGAAATCCTCCCTTTCAATTTATGAAACACTTGGACTGAATAACAAACTCTAAAGTTGCTGAAATCTGCATAAAACAAAGCTTTATTGAATAATTCATTAGAAACAGTAGAGAACAGATGCTATCATCTCAGTTTTTTGAAATACAAAGACACACACTGTTTTAGCACAAGCATGTTTTCCATCCCTGTTAAAAAATATTTTCAACAAAGTACCAGCATGGTTTACATGCAAAGGCAAGCAATTCCTTTAAACCTTAGAGAAAGAAAGCACTCTTAAAAGTATCAAGACAGAATGATATACCTGATTTGGTATAATTAACCATGTTAGAAATGAAAGCAAAATCAAAATTCAGTCCTACCAACGGGCTTTGAGGTCAAGCAAGCATCGCATGTCTCAGCAGAGGGCTTATTTACCAGGGCACAGACCAAACAGGTCCACTGCTCTTCTGATTTCCAACCCACTGAGTCAGTCAGATGGTCTCCCCTGCTACATGTCCAATTGATTGCAGTATTTCTAGTGGGAAGTTTGCTAGAAAATAATTTTTAAAATTAATCACTATGAATGACTTATTCTTATACATTATGAGTATTTTAGAAACTATTATAGAACCATTAATACCCCAATACTATTTACTATTGCTTATGTCACAACAAACTATTGGCTAACTTTTATCTTGAGTTCTGACTGCTAGTAAGTCTGAAATAAAAGTGTTTACATAAAGAGCTGAGCTTTTTTAAACAAACTAAAAGTACCGGATATAACCAGTAGGAAGCATTCTGCAAGTAATATTTTAATAGTACTCTTCAAAGCAAAATGAAACTATGATTCATGAACTGAATAAAAAAACCTATGCAGAAATCAGAACATTGAAAATAAAGTTATTAAAATTTTACATTACATCTCAAAAAGAAATTTCTAGACACTTTAGCATTTATGGTATTTACTAAGCACTTAATTGGTTGATCTACAGTGATGAAAAAAGGTATTTATCTTTGTGTTAGTTCTCTTCATATAAAACGATTTCATTTTCTAATCATTATTAGATATCTAATTATTAGGTGAGTAAGCAAACTGTAAAAGCAACCCTGAATTTTGGCCACAGGAGTTCTTCATTGGCCACTAATTGTTATACAGAATGCCTTTCTGGAGCTCTGATACAGTCCTGCTCACTAATGCACACATGGAGGTCTGTAGAATACTTCATGTGGTTAAGCAATCATGGCCATGTTAGGATTCCTGTCATGATTCTAAGAATTAATACTGAAAAAAGCACTTCCATGTATGGCTATGTATTTTACATTTCAGAACATGAGTGCTTTGACTTTCAAAGGTGGCCTTGACTTCTGTAACATTTTGTTCCTTATGTATAATTACATTGGTTCTAAAAGTCAGGCTTGTCTGATAAAATAACAAATAGCATAAGGGAATCTGAAAGTAAGACACTTCTCATTACAATTCTCTTATCTTTACTTACCTGGACTTTTGACGAACTCAGTATTTCTTATTCTTATGGAACACTAGAACTTCTATAGAATTTGTTTACCTCTGACCTAGTTCTTGTCTTCTACTAACTAACTCTGAAAGGGAACATGCTGTATTTATTTAGGATTAAATAAACACAACTGAATTGACCTTCATATTTCAACTTGCAATAACTTTTCACTATTTTCTTCCTCTTTTGTTCTATACATGTCACCAATAAGCTTTATTATTGTTGTTCTTTTTCCAGCACTGGTGTGGAACCCAGGGCCTCATACATGCTCGTTGACTCCTCTACCATTGCCTTTAAAAAATTATCTTTTTTATTTTTGAGCTAGTGTCTTGCCAATTTGCCCAGGCTGGCCTTGAACTTGTGATCCTCCTGCCTCAGCCTCTTGAGCATCTGTCATTTTATGTGTATGACACTGTACCCCAGTCCATAGCTACTACTGTTGTTACTACTGTTGTTGGATTTGGAAGTACTTTTCTTACTGTTCCACTTATTAATAGCCCACTAATAAAATCTTTCCATTCTGCACTTGGATAAGTAACAGGAACCTCAAACTTAATATGCTATAGTAGGCTGCACAATGGCCTCCTAAAGACATAGGTGACAATTCCAGAAACCAGTAAATTTGAGTTATTGCAGATGCAATCAAGGATCTTGACCTACAGATATTTTCCATTTGGTCCCTTAGACCAATCACAAGTGTCTTTATGACACAGAGGGAGATGATTTGATATTTACAGAAGAGAATATACTATAAAACAGAGACAGAGGCTGCAGTGATCAAACCTCATATCCAAGAATGTCAGAAGAGGCGGTGTTGGATTCTCTCCTAGCTTCAGAAAAAGCACATCCCTGAACACACCTTAATTTTGGTCCTTGACCCTACCTCAGCTTCCAAAAATAGCCACACTCAACTTTTTGCGAGCCCACCTCTCTTCCCTGCCACTATCAGTTAGCTACCTGTACTGCTGGGGGCCCTGAAGTTGCTGTGGTAATGTTTCCACGTAAGAGCTGGAATAATCCCCATAAAACACAAGTCAGTTCGTTTAATACCTCTGCTCAAGCCTTCCAACGGTTTCCCAGCTTTCTCAAAGTCAATATTTGTCACATTTGCTAGTGATTTTTCAAAATGTACGAGTACATGAATTATTTCACATCTTTTCAAAACCCTCCACAGACCCTAATATTATAAACAGAATAAAGTGGAAAATTTTTTCCACGGCCAGACTGTTTCTACATGGTCTATGGTTCATACCTGACTTCTGGTTAGTCAGTCTTCTATCTCTTCCTTTTTGTTTCTGAACTACCCTCTTATCAAACTTTTTCCCACCTTTATATCCTTTAAAGTTATCAGTTCTATTCAGAAATCTGCTCAGGGACTTTATTTTGCTGCCATATCTAAAATAGATGCCCTTTGTCATTTTATTGCCTATTTCTTGAGAGTACTAACCACTACTCACCATTGCCTCATTGTCTGATATATATTTTTTTCTTAATGTATGTTCCTATTGGAACATAGTAATCAATGAATATTCCATAGATATTGACTTAATGAATGGGTTTTGCACCTACATTATCTATTAATACTGCTGTGTTGGTTTCTTTCACCTCCTTCATGGACTGCTTTTCTTCTTTTTGAGACAGGTCTCTCTATGTAGTTCAGGCTGCTATGTAGCCCAGGTTGGCCTTAAACTCCTGGCAATCCTCCTGATTCAGCCTCCCAAGTGCTGGGATTACAGGTTTGTGCCACCATACCTGGCTGCTTTTCCTCTTTTGATTACCAAAGCTAACCTAGTTGAATGACTATTGGATCGTCCTCTCTCTTCTCTATGCATGCTCTCAGTGATTACAAATACTCTCAGATTCACTATCATTTCACCTATTATATCTGTTACCCTAAAGAGAGTAACAGGGGGGTACAATGTATAAGTGAAGGATGACAGTATCTTTAAGTTATCTTTGCACTTTGTCAGGAAGACAAGTTACTAGTATGGAAAACAACTGATTTTTCTTTACCCAAATATCAGTGTGTGTTAACAATACTAAAAGTATTTATTACCCCAAAGCTTGAGGTAAGAGGCTTAAGCAGAAAGCAACATTTTCTATTTCTACTTGCTCTATCTGTGGAGAGCCCAGGCAAGGTTACCCTCATGGCTTCCAGTCAGAGCCTCTGGTTCTTACAGCTCTTCTGTTAATTCTGTTAATTTTCCTGATATTCATTTGGCTGCATACCTTTTTAAATTATGTTCTAAATATGGCAACTATACAAACTGCCTTCCAAAAGCAAGCTTATTGCACCATGATTTTTGTCAGGTCTGCCATGTGCCCTCTGATTGCTCCATTCCTTCCAAAATCTCTGCAGGTCAGGTCTGCACTAAAATTGGATTGCAAATAGCACTATATTCTCATTAACTGGCAACCAACTATCAGGACATTTCCAAACTAGATGTTCTTTAAAAATCTGAATTCACTATATCATTTTAAAGGAACCAGAGACCCCTCTCCCATCTTTCTGAAGGTCTCCAAATGCACTAGGGATTTCCCCTATAGACTTGCCCATGTGTGTTTTCTTTCTTAAAAATCTTTTACATGTTGCTTGTCTTTGAAGAATTCCTAGTTTCTTTCATACTAGCCTCAAATATCTCCTCTTCCAACAAGATTCCCTTGTTTTTCCCATATAGATTTAAGTGTTTTCACTTCTATGCCTTACATATAACCTTATTCATTTATGCAAGTCCATCTTGGTGTTTTAATTCTGTATTTTCTCATTTACTTCCCACTTTAGACTTTGCATTGTATTCCCAATACCTGCTATAGTTGATGATAATAAAGCTATTTAAATTTTAAAAATTATTTTAAAAATGTAAAGACTCTCTAAAAGAAAAAGAGCAACTTAACTTCCCCTAAAGCAACAATACTCACACATATAAATTACATTAGCTAGTATAGAATTAAGAGCCAAAAATAAATGATGTAGGTATTTAAATTGTGGTGTGTAATAAATAAAAACCAAAAAACTTAGGGACAATTCATTTTGGAGTTCAGTAAGCATTCAGTGAGTGAAGGGGCTTAGATCATTGCTATTGAGCTTTAGACTTCAAGTTAAATTAAAATAACATGAAGTTAAAGTAAAAAAATTAGCATGAAAAGTATAAAAATACTCATTCTACAGATTAATATATTTAATCATAGAAAGTCTAAATATAGAAAAATAGTACTGGTTTCAAGCCTTTTAATTTATGTATGAATTTATTTTGCAGTGTATAGTTGTTTTACTAAGCAAGATTGGGTAGGAAAGGAGACATTACAAGGCCTAAACTTGTTTAGCATAAAAGGCTGGGGATTTAGCTCAGTGGTTTCGCCACCTTCCTCGCAGGCACAAGGACCCAAGTTTGATCCTCCGTACCAAAAAAAAAAAAAAAGAAAAAAAAAGGAGCAAGCATAGCATGGCTTCCTCTAAGTCCTAGATTAGGTGCATGTGAGTCTCCTTCAGGGAAACTTGAGCCTTTAAAGCCTAGTTTTAAAGAATCCTTTGAACTGACAATTATTTATATGGTAAATAACTTTATTTGATGATTTGGAAGAGTATGAAAATTTTTAAATCTCAGAAGCTATCAATTCATAAAAAAAACAATTACATAACACTAACCATTGAAGGTCAGACACTGAGTTAAATGCACAGGACCAAATAAAAGTATACCAATACCATACTATGAATAATGTTCCTGTTCATGAAAATCAAACTCCTAAATGGGTACAATAAATATAATTAATTAGCTTAACATATTTCAGATCTCTCTGAGACTAAAATGCATGAAGAGGCTAAGAGGAATGAAACACAAAGACAAAAAGACTTTTTTAAAAAAGTAGCTTGAGATACATTTTGGAGCCATGAGCCAGGATCTCCACTGTGCCTTATCTCCATGCTTTGCCCGAGTGCTTGATGGCCAGACTTGATGGCCTCTTCTTCCTGGGACTTCTGCACAGCCAATAAATACCTTGATTCTTTTCTATTTCTAATCATATCATTTTGTTTTTTTGCTTATTCTTTTCTCTTATTCTACAGTAATATGTTTTCCCTGAAGCTCAGACTTTGATTTATATCTTCTTTTTTTTGGGTTTTTGAGACAGGGTCTCACTATGTAGTTGAGACTGACCTGGAACTCACTATGTAGCCCAGGCTGGTCTCGAACTCATAGCGATCCTCCTGCCCCAGCCTGCCCAGTGCTAGAATTACAGGGGTGCGCCACCATGCCTGGCCTTGATTTATATCTTTATTGTTTCTCAGTGAGTTAAGAATGTTTTGATACTTCACTTAACAGTACTACGAACAACCCTCTAGCCATTACCTCCTCCACTCTAACATGGCCCATAACACAGCCCTCCTGGATACGCCACTGCTACTTCACACATTCCAAACTCAATGTATCATTTACCATTCCATCCCAACTTTCCCAGACTCACCCATAAAGTGAAACTTTGTTATTTGGCTCTTATTTTTTTTGCATTATCTTACTTTATATATCAGATCTGTCACAATTCTTGTTTAAAACAATTTCTCATCCCTCCAGCATCCATGCTTGTCAATGCAATGATTCACAGCTGATGACCATGCTGTTTTATCCAATTAAATAATGTTTGCTTTCTCATGTACTTAACCCAAATTCAATTTCTTATAGTAAATTTCAAATCGCTTTCTTTATAAGATCCTCCAACCTTTATATACTATAATATATATAATATATAATAAGTATAATATATATATGCCTTTAATATTCCTGAATTCTTGCAGCATTGTATGTGCTTCATGTCTGCCCTGATATTTTTCGTTTATAATCTGGTACACTGCTTTGCAGCTACTTTATATTGTTAATCTTTCTCCTAGCTGCCTTTAAAAAGAAATTTACCCTTTTACCAGGGTGACTGAGCATTGGCAGAAAGGAAATAACTAGATTTTGAGAGGATTATTGGCTCTGAAACAACAGTAATTCCAGGAGTCTTAGTTCAAGTTCATCTTATAGACAGTTTCCAAACCCATTCTGTGATTATTTTCCCAGTTCTCAAATGTATAACCGAAAGAAACATACTCAGCAACTGGCAGAATCACCATCGGTATGTTTTATAAGAAGTTTCATTAAGAAGACAAATTCTGGAAGAAAATCTTGCTATGTTTTATAATATTATTTCTAAATGAAGCAAAGACGTTTGAAGATAGCTGCATTTTTCCAATTATTGATCGACTCTTCTTGATACTTTTTTTCACAAAAAAGATTACATCTTATGGGTGGATACCATCACCCAAGTAAGAGACTTTTCTGCCTGAATTCAAAAGTAATACATATATCAGCTTTGGCTCCTTTGGGCTCTTGGATGATTCTTTTTCTTTTTTTTAACCGTATCCTTCCAAAGGTTCAAATAATTTTTAGTTATGTCCCTTTACGAATAGCTTAACAGTTATTCAGTGATATTCCCTGATATTAGCCTTTTAATTAAGTAATTTAAATTCAATATCTTACCATACGTCAGTGTGTTGAGGATTTTGTTTTTGACAATGAGGACAGAAATACGTCATTCTGTTATTCTCTCCTAAACGACATATGATAATTTTGCCTTGGCACTGACCACAATTAGGACGCTTGTAAACCTTACAGTGTTTAGAGATAGCAGATCCTGTTCTACAGCACTTAAAAAAAAAGAGAGAGAAGTTATGCACAAAAAAAGTAGCCAGATATATATCTTTGGAGCCAGATATATTCTTGAAAGTCAACTCTGAAACAATCTATTAAAACTTTACCTATGTTTGTACATAGTTTCATATAATATTTTCTTTCATCTGAGAAAAAGGTATTGACAAGATTCAGTAATATCTGACAAACAAGATTTGTGTGAAATAACTATTATATGAATGTGATAATGTGTTAGCATTCAAAGTTGTTCTTTGCATGACTATCCTCTTTTCTAAATGATATATAAAAGCTCTATATTTTAAAGTGTCTTGTATTTTTAAGTTTGTCTTAAAAGTAATTATTTGGTTTAAAAAAAAAGACTAGATTAGCTTTAAATTTGATTATTTTTCGAACACTGAAGTTTCTCACTCAGTTTCAACAGCCAAAAAAGTTTTCTAGGGAACAAAATTCTTTGCATGACTATCCTCTTTTCTAAATGATATATAAAAGCTCTATATTTTAAAGTGTCTTGTATTTTTAAGTTTGTCTTAAAAGTAATTATTTGGTTTAAAAAAAAAGACTAGATTAGCTTTAAATTTGATTATTTTTCGAACACTGAAGTTTCTCACTCAGTTTCAACAGCCAAAAAAGTTTTCTAGGGAACAAAATTTAATTGGTTTATGTTCTATTTAAAAATACATTTTGGTATTTTTCTGTCACAGATTTATTCTACTCATATACATTTAAAGCTCCTAACAAGAAAACATTTTGTGTGAACATTAGTATTGTGAAAATTTTAAAGTAAAAAAATATGAATCACCATTCATGAGACAAAAATTACACAAACAATTTATATTAATTTAAGCAAGGAGTTGAAATACCCAATTCAATCTGGACAGAAAATGGGCTATTTCCTACAGTAATTTTCCTCCAGAATAAATGAAACTGTATAGGTTTAAAATAGCCACAGTTACTCAAGGCAGATATGTAAACCAAAACGTTCATTAATACTTTAGGTCAATTAATAAAGAATGTTACAAAACCTTCCTTTTTAAAAAATCACTTTTTAAAACACAAAATGGATTTACCTAGACAGCCTAATATCCTGTTTCTCTGCTTAGCATATCTTGAGTGGTTTCCCTTTCATTACCTTCCTTTTTGAACACAGTAAAAGAATTCTGAATACAGAAAACAGACTGTGACAGAAAAACAGACTTAATCATACTTTAAAAGATAAAGTGTTTATTGAATTCTACATATACACATGTACAACTTTCAAAATTTACATGTCAGCAGTAGTTATTTAATTCTCAGAAGAATTTTTGTTGTCAATATTGTTATCCAATTTTATAAGTGAAAACACTAACTTTAAACAGTTTCTTTTTTTTTTTTTTTTTTTGGTATGAGGACTCAAATTCAGGACCTTGAGCTTGCCAGGCAGGCAAGGCACTACTGAGCTAAATCCCCAGCCCAAGTTTCTCAATAATTGAAATCAAGGATAAGTGGCAAATTCTGAATGAAAGTCCGCTTATTCTAATATACTTTTTAATCTCTTTATGGTTTTTATATTTTACATATCCAAAAACAAAGCAAGAATCTAAAGAAAAGGTTAACGTAATTTTTCCCAATTTAGTTTAAAGATAATTTAATATAATCATAGTTAGGCAAATTTGCACTGATCAATGACCTAGAATTTCAAGATGTTAATTATGCCCATAAAATAGCACCCTCCTTTATTGTACCTCTATATTCTTACCACTAGATGGCTATATAAAGCGTTAACATTTTTGGTGCCATCAAAAAAGAAATCCTAACATTTAAATACTTGAAATTTTAGTTCTTACCCTATAAAAGAGAATGCTGAAATCACGCACCATCTTCACAAGGTGATGGGTCTGTTCATCTGTTAACTGAAAAATCTGAAAATGGAGAAATAACAGCATAATTTTATAATTTATTACTGTGGGCAAATACCACTTATGAGTTCTGTTAAAGACAACTGTAAGCAGGTTTAAAATACATGCATATCTTCTAGAACTCTGTTTCTTATGTATTTAATGTAACTAGCTTTATTTTTAACTGATAATAATACTGTATTGATAAAAATATCATTCCTGTTTACACATTGCAATTCTAAATTCAAATGTTTATTGAATGTTCTACATCAGATATCTTCAAAACCCCAGCTTATCTACCAGCCACTTGAATAGTCTTGCTTGATTTGAAAAAAAAAAGCAAGAAATTAAAAACGAAATAAAATATCTAGAAAGGAAGGAAGAAAAGTAGACACAGGAGTAGATGACCATTAAGGTTACTATTAAGCTTTTAAAAAATGTTAACGTAAAATACATGTAACACTTCGAAGAACTCAGAAATAGACTTTATTGAACAATACTTTTGTGACAAAGTGTGGTGTGAATCTCAAGAGTTACATTTGCAGAATTAATTACCATTTGGCCCTTGTGCTTTCAATGGTAACTCCAAAAGAAATTTTGTCTGATGACTTACCCTTGTTTTTTGTGTTTGAAAACACACACACACATTAAAGGCTATAAAGTTGAAAATCATGTAATCACCATAATCATTCTAAAAGTACTATAAATGTTCAATTATTTAACTTTTAAAACTTAGGCTTTTTAAAAACATTCACTTCTTAAAATATCTTGTACACATGGTAGGTCACATCTACAGATGTTAAACTATTACTTTTTCAATAGCTGCACCTATTCTTTTAGGAGTTTAATGACTAAACTTCAGAAATGTAAGAATTTTTAATTCTGCAGATATTACAGATAAATGACCTTTAAACTAGATGAATGGCTGGCTGGGTGTACAAATCCATGGTAATTAGGTAACACTAACACTACTCTGGGTTTCTTTTGTGGTTTTTTGGGGAGTACCAAAGATTGAACACGGGACCTTGTGCTTGCAAAGCAGGTGGCAGCACCACTGAGCTAAATCCCCGGCCCTTTGGGTTGTTTTTTAAAAAAGCTTTTCCAGAGAAATATAAGTGATTTTTAAATATTCATTCATAGCTGGGCATGGGAGTACATGTCTAATCCCAACACTCTCAGAGGCTGGGGCAAACATGCAGGTTCAAGCCCAATCTGGGCAATTTAGTGACTTAGTATTAACAAGGAAAACAAAATTAAACAAACAAACAAAAAACCCTTTTCTCCTAAAAAATTGTTTAATATTGGCCACATTAAATTATTCCCAGTTCCAAAGAGCAGAACCTATTTCAAAATTATCAACTGGTTTCTGTTAAAACTTAATTCTTACCAACTTCAGTTTTACCAAAATCATTTAGAAAGTACACAAAACAAAGAGGTATCTTTGGATGCACATTAAATATAATTTAGTTAATAGTAATTATATAAATAATTCAATGAAAATAATTAATTGGGAATAATTATTTAGTTAATTTAATTAAAGATAATTTAGTTGATAGTAACAGATCTGGAAAAAAAGCCTGATGTGAATCCTTCATTGGGAAGTAAAATATATGCATGCTCCCTGCATTTTCCAATTTCTCTGACCTTCTCAGAACTTTATTGTATGAATCACCACTCCTTTTTCTACAACTTTAATATCTTTCTCTCCTAGTTCTTTTTCTCCCATTAATTTAATTAAAGATAATTTAGTTGATAGTAACAGATCTGGAAAAAAAGCCTGATGTGAATCCTTCATTGGGAAGTAAAATATATGCATGCTCCCTGCATTTTCCAATTTCTCTGACCTTCTCAGAACTTTATTGTATGAATCACCACTCCTTTTTCTACAACTTTAATATCTTTCTCTCCTAGTTCTTTTTCTCCCATATATATCTGACAGGGACACTAATATTTGCTCCCATCTGCTTGCTGATTGCTTATTCTTGAATATCCACTACTTGAATTCCAATCTTATCATTCTGTTGGGACAGGACTTTCTACCTTCACCAAGAGCTAGAACAGATGAGTATTAGGAACATAGGAACTCATGAGTATGTATAGAGCACGTATTTCATATGCCAGATAGAAAACAAAAAAGTTTTGAGTTTCATTCATTCACACATTCTGCAAATGTATGCTTAAAGCCTATCAAATTTCAAACCCTGTGTTTTAGATGTTAGGATACATCATTGAGCAGGACAGATTTGTGCTTTTTGGAGACTGTATTCTAGCAGAAGGAGACATGTTTTTTAACAATAAATATAACAACTAAATATTGTGTCTGAAAGTTACACACGGTATGGAAAACAGACAGAAGCAAATTAAGGAAGACTGGGAATGTGAAGTGGGAGGAGGGATGTACACTGCAGCTCTGCAAGGTGCTCACAGTGGGCCACTTTGAGAAGTCACAAGAACAAAGCCTTGAAAGACACCTGGAATCTAGGCAGAATCCAGGCTAGAAAGAATTTAAGTGTTCACATTGCTTCTTTAATATTATTTAAAGACAGAGAAATAATTAAAAAAATGAGTATGATTTACTTTAACAGCTGGATGGAGACCACTATCAAAGAGAGCTTCATTTTTGATGATGTTCCCTACTCCAGGTAACACTTTCTGATCCAATAGCACATCACAGAGCATCCGACCTTTCTGTTTTTTAATTTCATTTTCTGCTCTTAAGAAACTAAATTTAGGTGAGCACACATCTAATTCTTCCATCATTCTTATTCTCTGTTGGCTTTCCATTGAGTTTCTGCAGAAAGAAATGTAAAATGCATTAATCATAAAGTCACAGTGTCATTTGACATGAGCTTTAATATAAAAACTTTATATTAATCATGGTATAAGAGTTTTTTGGGTAAATGATGAACACCCGAAGAAATTTCATTATTTGAAGGCTCCTTTCCAATGAAGTTTCACCAGTTATAAGCTATTTACTTAGTGATGCCCCAAACCAAACTGCAGGTCGAAGCTCGGAATATATATATATATATATATATATTTTTTTTTTTTTTTTTTCTGTGTACAAATCAAATCATTGGTGAGCTGCAGTTCAAAAACAGGAGAAACTCCATTTTTATTTTTATAGGCAAGTGGATTAATCATGATGGAGCCTTTCATTCCAAAATGAATCCTGAAACAAAATCAAACCCATTTTGAGTTGAAGTATATCATATATCAAAATATTTCCTTGGCTTCATTTTTTGGGTATAAACAAACAAATCTCAGGACAGTTTTTTTGTTTTTTGTTTTTTTGGTATCAGGGATTGAACTCAGGTCCTTGCACTTGCAAGGCAGGCAGCAGAATCACTGAGCTAAATCCTTGGCCCTAGGATAGATATTTTTAAAGGGCAAAATCTTTTAGCTAATATGATCATATAGTTTTGTCCTGTAGCTTTGTATCCTTATAAAGCTATAAGATATGAAAATTAGTTTTCAATCCACAAATAACTTCCTGGGGAAATAATGACACCCACAAATAAGCCCAGGAAAAAAATATCTGTGTTCTTTTATTTTAAGATGAAGTATCTTTATTCACAGAATAGTCTAGCATCTCTCAGTATTTTCTGATTTAAAGGTTTAAGATAAGGCTAGGTTGCCTATAGCTTGTGCATATGAATTCTTCAGAGCTATTAACTTTCAAATTCCTTATTTCAGACACAATGATTTAGAAATGTTTACTTATAGCAAAATAAGATCTGCAGTTTAAGGAATTATTGACTGCTTTGGAATAAGCAATGAAACAATTTCCAGCAAAATCCTATGTATGGAGTAGGGGAGGCCATGAAGAGACTAAGAGAGAGAGGACAAGTCAAAATGCTATGGTCTTCAATTCTTTCATTTTCTTTTACCTTCATATGTATTGGGAAGAAGGGATTTATAAATATTTACAGTTAGATTTAAAGTCACAATGCAGTGATGGAAAATTCATAATCTTTCAGATTGTATAGGATTGATTAGTATGTCCAATTTAAAAAAAGAAGCAATTTTGTGAGGTCTCTGATGGTGAAGACCAAAAATGATTCTCAAGATGAAATGCAATGTTCTGCCTTTCAAATCTGTCTTTTATAGCTTTGTTGAGTTAATAAATATGGCTCTTTTGGAAGCAAATGTTACTGCTGTGGCTTCTACTTCCAAAGCACCATGTTATAGTAGTATACAAGGTTAACCAGTCTAACTTTAAAAAATGTGGGTTTTAAACTCTGTGTGACCTACTATCAATCATAAATACATTTTACATGCCCCATAGTTCCTGACAGGAAAAATGTGTACCTGTAAGTACTCTATAATTTAGCTTATAGAGGCCTAGCCCCAGTGCATGGTCTACAACTCTCATGCCCAGAAGCCATCCTATCTAAAATCTTTTCAGCTGCATGGTGCACAAAGTGGATTCTAAATCACTTTCCATAATGAAACCACATTCACATAAAAAATATCGAAGGTTAAGACCCAATTCAAATGCAGGAGTAGCCTCAATAAAACCTGTACATAAAGTAAGTATACCTTTGACTTGTAATTCTAACCATTTAGGGGGAAATGTACATAAAATAAATTTTTATTTTATCAATAGCTAAATATTATAACTGAGCTTTGATAAACTAACAAATTTTGTGTTTGAAACCCTTTTATCTTAAACTAAGAACATATCATCACCATGAAAAATTTCAAGGTACAGTAAATGTCTACTTTGTTATAACATTTTTTTATAGACCACCACATAGAGCCATATTTAGGAAGGGATTTTAAGAGTTTTGGTTGTTATTCAAGATTTCATAATTAAATCTAACTGAGAAAAATTTTATTAGATCCTTATTTCTATCTCTTAATCCTCCTCAAACTTCTTGTACCTCCAATTGAAATTGTTATCTGAAGCCATTTATTCTGCATAATATAACTCTGCCCGCCTACTTCAGGTACAGGGTCTAAGGGTAGGCATTAGGTCAAACCTGGACTGGTCACTCTATCCCTTCCTTGATCTTATAACACTGATTTAAGAGTGGATCCTTGTCCTAAACTAGGTTCATCATTATACTAACTGGACTCATTAGATTAGTTTCTTGTTACTATTGGAAAAAATCTCATATAAGAGCTGTATGTGGGAATGTTTCTATATGGGAATAGACACCAGAGAACCTGAGGAAGGCCTGTGTGCAGAGAGGAAATCTATACCAGATTTCAGTGAGAGCAGTCAAAAAAGAAATGAAGATAGTCCTGACAGTTTTTAGCCTTTGCTTCTAGCTCTCCCTCAACCCATCTTTATTATTCTCAGGCTTCATAAGATATCCTGTAATCTTATAATTAATAAGTGAACTTGCTTGTGTTATACTTTTGTCACTTGTAGCCAATGTTATAACATAAAAATTATGACCAAACTAAAACTGAATTAAAAAAACTCCTCTGGTAAGAAACAGTTCCTAAAACAAATTGATAATTAAACTTTGATCCCATTTTAAACATCACACTGTTCCAGGCTACCACTATAGGAATAATGTGAACACATTCCTAAGCAAGCATAAATAGCACAGACCACAGCACTGTTACAGGTTCTCATTAATGACAAACACACCCTGCAAATAATGTAATGAGCTAAATTCCAAAGAATGACAAGCCGCTCTGAGAAAAGTTAAAACATACATGTTTATATCTGTGGCAGAGCACAGGAGGAAGAGATAGCTACCATTAAAAAACAAAAACAAAAAACCACGAAACAGGTAAGAAGGAAACAGCTAAATCCCTGCAGTCCCAATCACAGGAGTGTGCACATCATGGACACCCTTAGAGTTGAGCATAGAGAGATGAATGAGGACAAGAGAGCTCAACGGTCTGCCTTTTGTGGAATGATGCCTGTCTTTATGAATAAGAAGCAAAAAATCTGATAGATGTGTTAAGCTGCTGTAGCCAAGGGAAATGTAGAAACAAAAAGCCATCTATCTGAAAATGGATCAAGAAACCTCTCTGCACACAGCATGAGCTTCGCACTGAGCCACAAGCTCAAGCAGGCTGTCACAAGGTGAGGATAGGAAACCTCTGACACCAGGCCTAGGCAAAGGTGTGCTGCTGTTGAGAGCAAATGCAGCCAGTCATCTATCCCTAGGGTTGGGTACAGAATCCTACAATGATGCAGAAGAGAAATCTGCTCCCATTGGGAGAGAGGTAGAGAACTCTAGGACCCAAGCAAGAACATCAGAAAAGCAGGGCAAAGTGTGACTACCATGGGGATGAGAGCAACAGAAACCCTGAGGTGCACATGGACAGGGCCAACCAAGACTAAAGGAGCTCCCGAAGTACACAAGAACCTCCACTGTCATGAGCCTCTTGCTGATTAACTAGTAAGAGTGGTCCACCACCAGGGAAGGGCTAGAATGGAGATTTTGTCTGTGATGTGTATATCAGGGTCTGTGGAGAATGAAATAGGAACATGAAGAAGCCACAAGGACAGCACTAAACATAGAGCAGCAGCAGCTGGAATTTTGAAGTCAATAGCACACTACCGAACGGAACCACAACTCACAAAAACTGAAACTCACTCTGCTCCCTACACAAAAGACCTGCTAGATAGGCAGGCATTGTCATTTCTGAGCTTAAATATTATTTACCACAGTCTCTTCAACAAATGATGTCTGATAGCTCTTTTTTTGTATATGATATCTCAGGTTCAAAACAATGTAAATAAGACACAGAAATAGATTTTAAAATTCCAATATCAAGAGAGAAAACAATAAATGAAAATAAATCTAAAGATGTCTTCAGTGTTGGAACTATGAGACAGGTGACTAAAAAGTAATTTTAAATTAATGTAAAAATGTAAAAATGAAAATGTTAATATATTATAGCCAATTTTATATTATGTATCAGTTATTAATGTGTTAATAATATGAAGTGATCTGGTACAAAGGCATATAAACAGATGAGAATTTCAGCACAGAAATAAAAATCCCAATATCAGAGATAAATAATTCTTCCTATGAATACATCAGCAGATTGCATACAGCAAAGGAAAACCTAAGTGAACATGAATATAGAGTAACAGAAATTATCCAAAAAAAAGATTTGTTTTTAGAAAGGAAATACAAAAGGAAATATATTTACACCCACATTTCCCATTTCCAGTGTTCTTTTTCTTTGTGTAGATTCAAAATTTCGCCTGTTATTAAAGTGCTTTATGCTGTACAGATCTTCTTTAATTTTTTTATGTTTTATGTTGAGTACTGCTGGATTCTTTCATTTTGTTTGTGGTTGGTTGGTTGGTGTTTTGTTGACCTTTTATTTTTTATAGATATCTTTGGTAATTTAGAATTCTCACTTGAAAGGTTTATTATCCTTTTGGCAATTCAAAGAGGTTGCTCTGCTATCTTTTGCCCTGTGGAGTTTCTGATGAGAAGTCCAATGTATGTTTTTACTTTGTTCCTGTATATAAAACCTCTTTATGTGGCCGCTTCCAGGATTTCTCTTCATATTTGGTTTTTAGCACATTGGCTAGGTATATGTAAAGGATATTTGTGGGGTTTTTTTTTGTTTGTTTGTTTGTTTGTCTTTTAGGTTCTTTGAACTTTTGGGTCCAAGATTTGATAAAGAAAAATTTTAGCCGTTTAACTCTTCAAAAATATCCTGCTCTATTCTTTATCTGTTCTGGGATTCCAGCTACAAGTATGTTAGACCATTTGGCCTTGTTTCATAGTTCCATTAATTCTGTAAAATTCTTGACCATACTTAAAAAAAAAGTCCTGTTTTCAATTTCTTCTCTTTTCAAGCCTCCAAATATCTTAGAGCTGACTATTGTACTCATACCAAATCTATAGAAACAAATCAGACAGGAGGGAAAAATTGCCAACCACTTGGAAGCCAGCATTATCCAAATACCAAAATTACACTGTGACACTAAGAAGAAAACAAACCTATGAGTCAATATCTCTTAAGAAGACAAATGCAAAAATCCTCCATAGAATCAGTCTACTAATACATAAAAAGGATAATACATTATAACAAAGCGAATGTATTCTGGAAATGCAAGGCTTATTCAAAATTAAAAAATCAATTAGTATAACTGACCATATTAACAAATTAAGGAAATAAATAGCATGAAGATTCAGAAAAAGATTGAAACATTTAATCTACAGTCATAATACAAACTCAATGTGGGAATAAAAGAACTTTTTTCAATCTAACAAAAGAGACATGTGAAAAAATAAAGCTAATATAAGAGAAAGTAAGGTAAAGATATCTGTTCTCACCATTTCTACTTATTATACTGATATTCCTAGCTGATATAATTAGAAAAAAGAAAGCAAAGACATAGAGATTAACAAGGAAGAAACAAAACCATCTCGATTAACACATGGTACCATTGTCTACATATTAATCCTACAGTTGTACTCCCCCAAAACAAACAAGAGCTGCTAGAATAACAGTTTAGCAGGGTGCAAGAGAAAAGGTCAACACACAAAAATTGTTCCATATACTAGTAATGAATAATTGGAAATCCAAATTTAAAAAGAGTACCCATCACAAGAGTGCCAAAACTTAATTTGACTAGAAATATAAATTATATTTGAAACTGAAAATCATAATTAAATAAACATGGATAATACTATTTAAGTGGAGAGGAAGACAGTATTACTCATTTATAAATTATCACCTAATTAATCTTAGAAATTCAATGTAATGCCAATCAAACTTCTAGAAATCTCCAGAAAGCATTTTATACAAACCACCAAATCTAAAATTTAGAAAGACAAAATACTAAAATAGTAAAAATCGTTTCAAAAAAAGGAAAGAAGAAAGCCAGGTGACTACACTGTTTTCATTAATTTAAAGGTATTTCAATTGGGATAGTGTATAACTGGTGAAAGAATAGAAACATAAATAGACACAGAATAGAAGCATAAATAGACACATAAATCCTTTAAAAAACATGATGAGTTCAGAAACTGAACCATATTTTTGGTTAACCGATTTTTCAACAAAGTTGCAAAGAAATGCAATGCAGAAAGGATAATCTCTTCAACAATTATCCTAGAACAATCACATGTGCACAAAAAATGTACCTTAATCTTTCTTTGTACTATGTGCAAAAATTAACTCAAAATACATCACAATTCTGAACAGAGAGGTCACACAAAAATAAAAGTAGAAGAAAATAAAGGGGAAAATCATAGCGAATTTGTACTGGGCAAACATATCTTTTTATTGTTCATACAAAGTATGAACAATAAAAGAAAAATTTCTAAATTATAATGTAAATTATAATTAATCAACATCACAAGTTTGTGGTCAACAGACATGGTTAAAAAAATAAAGAAGGCACACAATAGAAGCAACTGCTTGTAAAACATGTATCTGATAAAATGCTGACATCTGGAATATGTAAACAATACTTACAACTCAATCATACAAAGGCATACCTAATACAAGGCAGAAAAACAGCATATCTTGAAACATAAAATATATAAATTTTATGTATAATTTTAAAAATAGAAATTTTTTTTGTATGTGGTGACTGTGGCCAGAAAAACACTTTCCAAAAAGAATGCTGTCTAACCCTTAAGGTCAAGCGGGCATGGTATGTAAATAGAAGGCATTTATTAAACTAAAGTATATAATTAGCTGTAGAGTCTTCATGACTTTAATTTCTCCCCACATGTTATATGACAGATTATATCAATTATAACAAAACTTTAAAAACTTTTGGTAAGTAGCTTATGATAGAGCCAATAAAGATATTTTAGCGAATAAGAATGGTTTTATCATATTAGAGGTTCATACCACTTGACAGCCAATAAAATTAGAAAACTGATTGTATAAGCCATTCTTAAAAGTGGCAAAACTCAGGCTGGGGATTTAGCTCAGGGGTTCCACCACCTGCCTTGCAAGCTCAAGGACCCAAGTTCGATCCCTGGTACCAAAAACAAACAAACAAACAAAAAAAGGGTAAAACTCTCAGAATATTTCAGATGTAGATTCTAGTCACTAATATGTATGCTAGTCAGTCATATAAATTGCAAATTAGAAACAGCAAAGCATTTTATAAAGAACCATTCATTTAAAAATATAGCTTTTAAGTATTAGTCTAACATGTAACATTCTGATTGACATGACAACTTTTAGGCTAGCTATGTTTGGGTGTATAGACATTGGTACTATATATGTACTCACTGTACTGGCAATATATATACTCAAAGTTTATATATATATAAATCACATGATATATATAGCATATGTTCTTCCACTATTTCTGAGTTTGCTCTAGTATTTGTTACATTTATAACAAAGACTGAAAACAATTTTTGCTTTGTTTTAGCTAAAGAGATTCTGCTAAGTTTAGCATTAGTGCAAGTATTAATCACATGCAATGTCACAACTGTGCTCATAAAATAAAACAGATGAGCAATAATTTTTAGTATTCTATGGAACTATTATGAGCATTTAGATACAGCACATACTAATAGAAATAATCACTTTCTAATTTTTAGTTTTCTGAAGTATGGATTTTTACATGCCCAAGGCTCTTAGAAAGGTCTATGTCTATATTTACTTTTGAAAACAAATGAATTTCAGATTATTCCCGGGCTGCCTTGTGCAATGCACATATATTATGACTAAAACCTATTGGCAATTTTGATAATGAAAAGCTGGATAAAAATTGGAAAAAATATTTAAGCATGGTTCCTGCTAGATGCTCTCTAAATGCAGACCAGTGCTGCAGATAGAAAACAGAAGCCAGAAATGAAGAAAATATTTCCATCTCAGGCTCCCAGACGTGCAGCCTCACACAAAGATCATGCTTCTTCAACAGAGTCATCCATTCCCTTAAGCATATGTTGGGAGTGCAATTTTTTAACATGTTACATTGTGAAAGGGGATACAGTTGATTTTAGGTTGTTGAGTTCAGATTCCAACAGCTGATCTGCCCCTGACCTTGAATTGTAACATACAAGAGTTGCTAAGGCTGCAGGAAATTGAAAAGAAGCAAGCCAGTGCAGTTTTTACTACTCATACATTGAGCCAGTTACTCTCTAGGGACTACACCAGTTCACCCAGTCTGAAAAACTGATCACCCTTGTTTAGAACTTCATGGGACACTTACTGACAGTCGTTCATTGAGCAATGATTCCCTCCTGTCAGTCTGGTAGAAAACACTGATAAAAACCTCCCTCTCGTCCTATAGAATTAAATCTGCACCTAACACCAAATAAATCAATAACCTATCAATGTTTTCAACTATTGTGCGTGTATTCCATTGTCCAGAGGTAAGAGTTTTCAAGCACATCAAGCTACTACAGTGTAATGTAACCTACTATAGCGATAGTAACCTACTATCATTACTGCCTGAACCAGTAGGCATATGCTGATGTTATCAATCCCAGACTAAGAAAAAACATGAAGTGACAATGTTGTCCAAGGACAGCAGCTACTGACAATGAAGAGAGTGTACCTCAAAGGAAAAGCAATTACATGAACCTGAAGTACTCTCAACAGGTGGTGGATGAAATTCAATAAATAACAATCAGAGCAATAAATAACAATCATCTCTTTGTGAGCATTATACACTTTCATTTAGAAGTACAAGGTCTAATAGCAGGTCTTTTCTTTTAAAAAGGTGACAACTATTTAATATCTTAAGCACTAAAAAGAATCAAGGAAGCAGAATTCATCTTTATAGTTTGCAATGGCTTAGGTTAAACTCAGAAAAGACCTCTTGAGATTCAACAAGCATATTAACTTTTAGGCCTTTTTCCTGAAAAAATTAAACAGGTGAGCATGCAATGAAATTATATAAATTCTGACAGTTTTTATCATGAAGTCAACCAAGCTAGTAGAATGCTTGTCTTTCTTTGCCAATACATTAACTATGAATTTTTATAAGTACTATGATAAAGTAAACCTGTTATTTCTTTCGAAAGTGTTTGAATTCTGAAAGTTCCCAAATTCTGTTCAAGACTTCAGAGAAAGGAGGAAGGCAGAAAAATATAGAAATCTAGTGAGGCATTTAAACTAAACAAGGGCCTGTCATAAATATAAAATAACTGATGCCACCAAATGCAGTGAACATTTGATGACACAAAAGGAGAGATTACAGTGTAAGAAGTTTTGGGGACAACAAAACAAGAGATATGTTGCTCCAATACATCTTCAGAAACTCTGATAGACTATCAGTTTTTGTAAGTAAAGTGAATTGACTCCCCTCCAAGTAACGATGACATCACAATTTATTCTTTTTCTGGTGATTGCTTTCCATGGTGGAACCTCAACCTTATATATAGCTCGCATAAACATGGAGTACGCTCTACATGATTCAATGTGACACCTGGAGAACTGCAAGAAAAGCCTTCTCTACACCTTTAAATATAGAGTGATAAGATGTATTGTACAGGTTTATCTTACCGTAAAGCTTTTGGGCCAAAGAACATAAACAGCTCTTTCCCCAAAGTTTCCACACCACTGTAAACATATCCATTAAACAGTCTTAAGAAATTCTGGGTGGAATCTTTACCTTCTTTTGGAGCAGCAGCCTAGTAGAAAATACATACACATATAAACATTCACATACACGTAAACACAAAACAAAATTATAATTTAATTGCTAAAAGTACTTGTATTATATCATGCCTAAATACATTCTGATGAGAATAAGGTCTAACAAGTCAAGTATTAAAATCAGCTGTTTGCATATTCTGTCCAATTATTATACACTAACTTATGAAGAAAGAGGCCAAAAACATTAAGTGAAAAAAAAGAATTGGCAGACAATCAAAATGAGTTTGTTCCAAGACCAGACAGCTCCGCTCATATGAAAAAAAAAGCACAGGAACTGGGTGTGGTGGCACATGCCTGCTATCCCAGCACTTCGGAGGCTGAGGCAGAAGGATCCACATGAATTCAAAGTCAGCATGGACTATCCAGTGAGTTCAAGGACAGCCTGAACTACAGAGCGAGATGCTGTCAAAAAAAAGCACAGCAAAACAAGGCAAATGATATAAAACTAACAACTAGAATACAGACTTCTATTTCCAAAACGATAGCAAGATTTCCTAAAGGAGTATTCAAATAACTGTTGCAAATGATAGACAACAAATGAAAACAAAATATTTTGAACTGTGTTAATAAACTTCTAAGCAAGTAAGGTATAAAAAGAAGTCAAAACCTAAGTAAAAGTAGGACAGACACTTGAGGGATATGCTAAGAAAGACCTTGAAATCAACTCTTACCATGAGGACATTTACTAGATCCAAGGAATGATAAAGCTTCAATTTCTTTCATTTTGGGTGGGTATCATAGATCAGATACAAAGTTTGGGGTTCCCTGAGTAGAAGAATATAATTAAAGTCCTGCCCCATTATAACCACAGTGTTAAAAATAAAACTCCCTTTCTCCCATTAGCCTTGCAAAACCAAACAATAGAGTAGTAGGATTACAATATATGTACTGAATAATATAAAAAAATCAAGGACATTATAGACCTACCAAGATACAAAATACAGGTCCTGTAAAGGAAAGGAAAGATTGGCATGTAGCTTAGATATTAGTCATGTTTTTTTTTTCCTTAAATTGAGCATTAGGTGTTCCTTGTATCATGATTTTTTGTTATTTAGATAGCTTATAAACATATAATTTATACACCAAATTCAGTAATAATTTTAAACTTATAAATCTGTAACTCTCAGGTTAAAAAAAAGTACACATAATTGATCCATATGTTTACACTTAATTCAAGGTGACATTTTGCCTCTAACTTGCTTGCCATTTTTCTCACAGGGTCTGAGGATCCTGAAGATAAATCAGTGGGGATGGGGAATGTAGTAGGAAGGCAATTATAAAGCAGCGTTAGATACACAGCCTACTAGAAGTCACAAGTTCTCCTGAGCTTAAAGTAGAATGATAAGATTTTTGGTTAACAAACGTTTGTCAATATAAATGTATAAGACATATTTTACTAAATTGGTCCTTGTTATTAAAAAAGAAAAATACCATGGTACTACTCTTCCATTAAACCTATTTAAGGTTGTAATGATAACAGCTCATGCTAGAATTTTCCAATTGCTTAAAGTTCAGTGAACTTCAAAGGGCTTTACATCCCTCTTTGCATAATAAACACTGGATTACTAATCATAGACTTACAATAACTGATAAATACACAAAAGTTATTAAAAAGTGATAGATGCTAGATGTAGTGGTTTACACCTGTAATCCCAGCTACTCAGGAGGCTGAGGCAGAAGGATCACATGTTTCAGGTCAGTCTAGGAAACTTAGCAAGATTCTTCCTCAAAATAAAATTTTAAAAGTTTCAGGGTATAGCTCCGTGTTAAGAGCTCTCCTAGCATATCTGAGGTCTGAGATTCATACCTCCTGTACAAAAAACAGTAAGTGCAGACTTCCAGTTTTGCTTCAATGACAGAAAGAACCTGTGGGAAATTCTCACATCTGGAAGTAAGGGTACATATGTCACCATATCCTCAGAACTTCTGCCTCTGATTTCTCTTCCCTCTTGGATGGACTCGAGGGCCTAGCAATAACTAATAAGTGCTGGCAAGGCAGGCTTGAGAACTCAGTGAGCGGGAAAACCATACTTTCACATGTGCCCTGCTCATATAAATAAACCTGCCAGAGTCCTGAATTGAGAAGCAAAAAGAGTTTTGATGCTTTTCTGCCTCACAAGAGGCTTTAAGCCACTTCTACATACTTCAAGCCAATATAGCTTACAATAGCAGCATTCGAGGTAGGTTTCCATGGCAACTGATTAATAAGTAAAACGTTCTTATAAACTAGCCAGGACATTTTAAAGATGATGATATACAGATCAGATATAAACCTATTAGTAAGCTTTTCCTGAATATAGATCAGTATTATTTTTATAGGATCTCAGATTTAAGGTCTTACTATCATCTTAATTCTTTATTTATACATTAATGGATCAGGGCTTTGCTTCTCCACCATCCCAGTATCAACCATCTGTTACCCTCCTTTTCATCAATGTTCTTCTTACCAAACTGGTTCTCACCACACTCTCTGAAGACTCTGGCTTCTGTTAGGCCTCCCATCAGAGACTGGGTGATAACTTTATCCCATTTAATGTAGTGACACAAACATATACAGACACATACACAATAATACACATTCACACAACACACATTCATATATAGCAACTTTCCCTAGTTCTTAGTAAGAAGGGAAAAAGCTAACACTGCTATCCCTAGGCTATAATTTCTGATAGCCCTTTTAAGTTTTACAAGTTAAACCTCAAACTCAACATCAATCCAATATCTGATTGGCTAATTAAAAATTCTGTCAGCTGCCATATCAGTTTCTCATGGTAGAGCCTCATACCTGATTGCTCTACTTCATTTCTTCTTAAGATGGGAAACCATAGGATTAGGCTATTCTCACTTACTACTTGTCTGCTTGCTGCCTTGACCTCCTTTCCTCTATAAATTCTGACTACCATATTTTTTTTAATGGCACATGGCAAAGAAACAGATATGTTTCCTTGAAATAGTGCTGTCACAACTAATAAAATAGTAAAGGAGTCCCAGCAGTTCCATGTGAAATCTGCTCATGTTGATAAATTAACTGCTTTGAAAATAATTTCTATCATTCAGTTAAAAACTATGGAAGCCCACAGCTATAACAGTTCATGTTTTCACTAGGGTTTGTCTACAACACAGACATTCTACCTGGAAGGTCAACCCTTGTTATTAAAAATGGGTCATCCGGCCAGGGATTTAGCACAGTGGTTCCGCTGCCTGCCTTGCAAGAACAAGGACCCGAGTTCGATCTCTGGTACCACAAAAAAAAAAACCAAACAAACCCAAAATAAAAATGGGTCATCCATTCCACTTAACTAAATTCATTTTGGAAAAGCTTACTGACCTTCCACTATGCATCATCAGGCTTTGTTCTAGGAGCTGGGGATATATCAATCAAAATAATTAAAACCACCCTGCCCTTATGGAGTTTATATTTTAATAAGGGAAAAGCATAGGCAATAAACCTAAGGATACAGTATTTTAAAAGATTTTGAAAAGAAACTGAGATAGAGAGATCAAGATTGGGCGAAGGTGTAATAGGTTACAGTTTTAAAGGGGTAACCATAATCTCAGCGGAAGAATAAACATTTGAACGAGTTTTAAATGAGAGAGTGAGGCATAATTCACATAAAAAGAATGGCAGTCCAAATAGGTCAGTATGGCCATAGCACATAACAAAGTACTACAGGTAAATGAAACCTGACATATAGTAGGAATCAGACTATGTGGTCCACAAAGTCTGATCTGAGGACTAGCTTATTTCTTTTAGCACTAGAGTAAAAAAAAATGTGATCTATATTATTATTTTAAGTGTGTTTTTTATCAGTTAGATAGAATTTTGGTGAGCGGGTTGAGGGGGGAAAGCCAGAAAAGCACTTAAAAGACTACTGCAAAAAATCCTGCCAAGAGGGGAAGGGATTTAGCTCAGCGGTTCGGTGGCCTGCCTTGCAAGCACAAGGACCTGAGTTTGATCCACAATCCGCGGTACAAAAAAAAAAAAAAAAAA